TTTTTTTTTTTTTTTTTTTTTTTTGAACAAGAAAATACGTAGCTTATGAGATCAAACTTTTCGTGTGAACAGTTGTACTGCCAAGGGGTCAAAATGCAAGCTCCCATTGACTGCCTTCAGGAACGAAGCTTAAATTCGACCAGTAGCTGTATCCTCATTGATATCAAATTGATCAGAATCATTGTCTCAGAGGGGACATTACTGTTCTATTGCAGAATCCAGTAAATCGTCGGCAGTCACGCGTGCAGCCAGAGTGCACAAAATACTTGAAGTCACCACGTGGGACGGAACCTCCAAAGTGGTTATCGTTTGCTGAATAATTTTTTTCTGCGCATGGATTTTGTGTTCGTCAAGACGGTAATTCATTTGAGTCACTCAATTCGGTGTCACAGTACTTTTTCTACCCTTGTTCTTGCACGAGGGGTTTCTGGGAAAAGTTTAAAAATCAAGCTTGAGAAAAATTAACTAAAAAGATTTTTTTATTCGGGTCTTTTAGGCATAGTGGTGTTGTTTTCTATTTTCTTTGTGTAAAAACTTTCGTTTCTTAAATTTCGGGCAGTGGAGGTTTTTACTACGCAGTTCCTCTTAATGGATAATTTAAAAATTAAAACTTCTACTCCTCAGAGGATTGAGCAGCACTGTTACTTTTGAGCAGATATTTCGTGGAACAGAGGCAGCGCGTACCTCTGTCACCGGCTGCTCGGGAGACGAGCGGGATGTTGATTAAGAGTAACTTACCATCGAAGTGTGTTAACGAATCGTATGAAGTCCACCAGCCTGGCTTTGACTTTGGATTATCAGTGAAAGGTTAGGTGTGGAAGCGGTGCCATCTAGTTAAGCTTCTTTGACTCACCCTTCAGATTTTCCCTCTGTGATACAAAGAATTATAAATGAGCAGCTACGAACAGCTCTGCAGGTTACAGATAGTCTGTTTCCTTTCTGACCTCCTCAGATCGTAAACCGTACTTTGTTTTTTAGTTTCAAATACCACCACATCCTGCTTTTTTTGCCACATTTTATCATAGCAAATTACGCTTTTAAGCTTAAAGGGGCAAAGCCCGCGTTAGCTTACTTGCATTATGATTCAGGCAACATACCGCGCACTACACTTCAGCTGCAGCAAGTGAGCTTGAGAGGAGACGGTGGTGCCGGACTTCATATTTTGCACTAGACTAGGGAATTGTCGGGGCAGCCTGATTGACTTCACAGCTTGCAAAGTTACATTTCACAGCCTGCATCCTGTCTAGCTGGACTTTGTTAGTCGCTAAAAATTAGGCTGCGACTCCCAGAATTTCTTGAGAATCAAGCTTTT